TGTGTGTGTGTGTGTGTGTGTGTGTGTGTGTATGTTTGTGTGTGGTGTCGTTAATACTTAGATGATTCTACATTATACATCACTTAATTAGAGCCTTCTAGGGATTAGGCGAAATATAAATTTCCGTTACTACTAACAACAATAACAAAAACATGACATATTGTCAGGTCCATTTTTTACTGCTAACAATTTATGTTGGCTTGTGGCAAGAACTGTCTGTATTCAGTAGAACGCCATCTCTCTCTTGAGCATCTCTTCGTCGCTTGCCGTCCCCCCCGCCATCAGGGGCTCTATCTCGTGAGTTGTCTTGGTGTAGACGAAGGCGTTGACCAGTTCTTCCCCCATGGCCTCCATGACCACGTGGTCCTTCTTCAGGGCACTGAGAGCGGAAGGGAGGTCACCGGGCACAGGGAGAGCGGGGTCTGGCATCTCAAGCTTTTGGGGAGGAGAAGAAAAAAGAAGAAAAAAGTGGGGGGGGGGGGATAGAATAATTATATAAAAAAGGAGGTAAGGATTATTAATTGATTGATCGTTCATGATGTTTGACGATATGTTAGGTGAACACTAATAATAAAAGATGACAACTTAAAGAATTCTCTTTTTAAAGACTAATTATCTCTGGACTTCGTAAAAGCTCTCAGTCCCTCCCCCCTCCCCCCCCCAAACAACACAAGAAAACGAACAACAACAACAACAACAACAACAACAACAACAACAACAACAACAACAACAACAACAACAACAACAACAACATTAACCAACACACACACATATGCACCCCAAAAAAACAACAACCACAACAACAAACAAAGAAAAACAAAAAACTCAGAAAAAACAACAACAAAAAAACAACAACAACAACAAACAAACAACCCCCCCCCCACACCCAACCCATTCCCACTCCAAATTAAATACAATTGATTTATTTCTGTTTGGGAGTTTTAAAGACGCGTTTTGCGCCTAGATCTAGTAGTTATATCCTATTGAGGTGCTTGTATATAAACGTATTTGTGTATTTTCAAAGTGGTGGCGGGAGTGGCGATTGAATGATGTATTGTGATATTATGTAAAATTGGTACTTCTTAATCGGGGTTCGATAGACATCCTACACAACGCGTTATATCACGCTAAATGAGATGTATCTGTTAGCCACATTGTCATAGGAGTTGAACTATGATACGGTACATCAAGTCACCCCCGGTTCCTGGCAGCAGTCGTCGGAACAATGGACGCATACTCACATTCGCCTGTAACTTCCATGCAAACCTTTTCTTTGAAGGCAAGACGAGCATTCTCTTGCTTCATGACAATGAAAATATCTTATACGTCTGTTCAGACTCAGAATCATTAAGAGCGTCCCCCCAACCCAAAAACAACAACAAAACAACAACAACAAACAAACAAATCAATAACAACAAC